GCCGCCGTACCCTTGTCACCACGTAAGCTGCTTTAGCGAAAACAGCTGTTGCATACACGCATCATGAACCAATATCGCACTTAGGAATTGGTGACATAAATTTCATAAGAAAATGTATGAAACCTTGTTTAGGGAATATGTTAGGTTGTATTCAAATAATTTCAAAAAAGATTGCAAAACTGCAAAGTCTCAATATTTAAGTTCAAAAATAAAAAATAGCATGGATAAAGTAAAAGCTACCTGGAAAATAATAAATGAAGAATCAGGTAAAACGTCTGACAAACGAACTGATTATATGTTAAAAGTTAAAGGGAAGTTAATAAAATCTGACCCAGAGGTAGCTTCTTCTTTTGAAGAGTTCTTTACAAATGTACCACTAAATACGACCAAGTCCCTAGGTTCTTCACCTGCTGCTGCGATCTCATTGCTAGAAAAATGTGTACCTGAATGTAATATTAAATTTCAGTTTAAACATATCACTTGTAATGATATCGTTAAAACTTTTAAGCTTATTAATTTAAAAAAAAGTAAAGATATATGGGGTATGTCAACAGTCATTTTAAATTCCGTTATTAATGTAATAAGCTCTGAATTATCTATAATTTTTAACAGATGTATCGATTGTGGAGTCTTTCCGGACGAAATGAAATTAAGTAAGATTACACCGTTGTTCAAGGCCACCTGTTTCCGTGCTCCCTGCGTTGAGCAAAGTTTTTGAAAAGATAATGCTAGACCAGCTTTCTTTACATTTTAATAAAAATAAACTCTTACATAATAAACAGTATGGTTTCACTAAGGGTCGCTCCACAATCGATGCCGGTGTGAAGTTGATTTCGGACATATTTAACGCCTGGGAAGAATCATATGATGGAGTCGGCGTCTTTTGTGACCTGTCAAAGGCCTTTGACTGTGTTCATCCTGATATACTCGTTGGAAAGCTTCAACACTATGGCGTTGATGGCAAAGCTTCCAGCCTGATGAATTCATATTTAAAGGGAAGGATCCAAAGAGTTCATGTCAATGGAGTCACCTCTCCGGGTTCGCAGGTATCAATGGGTGTCCCCCAAGGATCGATTCTCGGGCCTTTCTTATTTCTGATTTACATAAATGACCTCCCATTCTTTGTCAACGAAGTTCATGAGATGGTATTGTTTGCTGATGACACTTCACTTCTATTTAAAGTGAATAGGAATAACGTATTATTGGACGATGTAAACAATTCTATCTCTCGTATAGTTAACTGGTTTAATGTAAATAACTTATTGCTTAATGAGAATAAAACAAAATGTATTAGATTTACAACTACTAGCGTAAAGCGAGATATTGGTAACCTGAAAATTAAGGACAGTGAACTAAACTTTGTTGACAAAACTGTTTTTCTAGGCATAACAATAGATAGTAAACTCCAATGGGGCCCACACATAGAGACTCTTTCGAATAGGCTGAGCTCTGCAGCATATGCAGTAAAGAAAATCCGACAGTTTACTGATGAGGACACGGCTAAAATTGTGTACCATAGCTACTTTCATAGCGTTATGTCGTACGGCATTTTACTGTGGGGTGCTGCTGCAGAGGTTCAATCCATATTTGTGCTGCAGAAGCGGGCTGTTCGGGGTATTTGTTGTGTTTCTCCGAGGGAGTCGGTACGGAATAAGTTTAAGGAATTAAATATTATGACACTATCTGGTCAATGTATTCTTGAAGCCTTGTTGTATGTCCAAAAAAATATAAACGATTTTAAAACAAATGGTGACTTTCACCAGTATAATACGCGAAATAGAACTAATTTGAGTGTACGACCAACTAGGCTCCAAAAGATAAACCACTCCTTATATGGAAATTGTATTCGTTTTTACAACAAGCTCCCAAGCGAAATTAGAGAATTATCACTAAATAAATTCAAAGCCCTCGTTAAACGAAAATTAATCAACAAAGCTTTTTATAAATTTGAGGACTACTTAAATGATCCTAATCCTTGGGATTGAATTGCTCCAGTTCAAACAATTTGTATGACAATACTTGGCGATTAAAAAGAGTGGCGGAAAGTTTCTTGCCAGTTCTTCTTACCCGCTCTACGCCCTTGACTTGCGAACTGGTAGTAAATGTAAATTTACGATTAATTTAACTTGACGATTCAAAAGTGTACTTGGTTACCTACTTGAATAAAGATATTTTGAGTTTGAGAGTTTGAGTTTGAGTTGACACCTATTATTAGTAAATTAGAATACATGAGCCAAGAGTGCCTTTTCATTTTTTTTAATGTAGTGAATATCTACAATGAATGAAAAACATTGTGAGGAAGCCGATGTGGCCCAAATCGACGCCGCGTGTGATTCATGGCTGAATATTACATGTTTTTGGACTGTGTCTCATTTGTGTCACGATACTTTTCCTAATATTTATCCAGCTGTCCATAAATAGTGCGTGTAACTATAATCAATCGCTAATATAAGACGGGTGAGAGTGAAGTAGTTGTGGTGGAGCGGTGGCGGTACAAATGGGGACGTAATTAACGATATTAATTTGCTCGAAACCACATCCGCAGCTGGCAGTAGCTGGCGTGAGTACGCGAGTCCTATTTATGTAGCATTTGTTTAATTAACCAACACAGATATTTAAACGCAAAAAAGGGTATATTTGTTTTGTGTGTGTGTAGGTCAGCCACCATTAATGTTTGTCTAAATATAAATCATAAAGAATCTTTGTACTAAAGAAAAGTATTTCAGTAAATACATGTTCACTTCGAAAGTTTCAGATTACAGGAACTTTAAGAAGAAAGTTTATCGTAATAACATTCAATCAATAACAACTAAAGTATAAGCTTAGCTAATACGAAGTTAATTTCAGAGGAAACTGAATAAGCCACAGGAGAAGTTTGTCTTAGTCTAAGCAGCCTGCTAAAGCTACGAAAACTAAAGTGTTATGAGAAGTAACTAATTGCCAATTTGTATAAAACATTCAATAGTATACTGACTCTCTTTATCTGTATTATCCAATGTAGTCTGTAAATTTTTCCATCATTCATAGTTAACTGCAAGTTTCATACCAAACTTGAAAAGCAAACTTAATTTGAATTAAAAGTTGTTATATCCAACATACAGCAGATTCCGCACCTACCCTAACTACTATATTATCCCGTGAATTCCCTTTAACTGGAGCTCCTCGTGTAAATAAGTGCAAATACGGCATGAAGCGAGCATAAAGCAGGTGCTCGACGAGGTTTATTGGCCGTGTGAAAAATGTAATGTTGAACAATACAAAAAGTGTGAAAAGTGCAGTTGACAGGCTCAAGTCGCGTGCCGATTGTTACACGCGTCATGGCTTACATAATACATATAACAATTTTATTTATCGTAAATTACTTTTTTCAATTATTTAAAGTCTTCTAGTGTGTTTAATATTGCCAGGACTACCAAAGATAGCTTGTATTCTGCTATTCGCAAAGCGTAGTTTTTGGCTTGACTTGTACACATATATAAGTTAATATTAAAAAAAGGCGTGAAGCGTTCTGTTCAGTTAATCAGCATTTAGTGAACCTGTGGTATTGTTGACCTCTTGATTAAAACCTTCGTATTCCTATTTTATATTGTATGTTGACCTTAAAAGCTCTATATATTTAGCATTATATTTCCAACAATATATCGAACCTAAGGGCCAAAAATATTTTGCAGAAGGTTAGAAATTAATTGTAAATTGGCAAATATAATTCACGGGCCCAGTGCAGCCTTCATATAATAATATGACCTGATAATCGGTGGTGCTCCAGTGATTTTGTCACAAAAAAGATGTTCCTTGATTCTCGAAGCAAAAACAAGCAATAATATCGATACCGCAATAACTCATTTATATCATCCAATGAAGCAGTAATATCGAGAATGTGAAGTAAATAGGTTAAGTAATGACAGGTATGGGAGGCTCGTTCCAACGCCGCCTTAATGAAAATTTGCCTTAAATAGCAGAGCGGATAGTTTCATGTATTGCCATGTCGTACAATAGGAATAGTTCGTAACAATATCACTCGATTGTGTATCGGTTGTGGCGCAGCCTGTTATGTCTTGTTTGTTTCCAACTTATGCCAAGACTTGCATGTTTTGGATTGTAGCAACATTCAAGATATTTCGATGCATTTATATTTCTAAATAGATAATAAAACAATAAACTAAAAATATCTATGAACTATGTTTCGAATGACAAAAAGCGTGTGATTTGTGGAAGCTTTATTGTCATGTGAAGTTTACTTTAAATATTGAAATTTACAAGTTATTGCCTGAGGTTTATGTAAGCCATGTATGTACACTCGTATATATATATGTCAATAAGTTTATATGTAGTGTGTTAATAATAGGTTGTAAAATGTACCGTATTTTTTCTTTGTTGACTTCCATGTTTACACCCCAGCAATAGAACAGAATCATAACGGAATGGATCAAACAAAAGATAGCAAAAGATTTCTTTTTAGTGTCAAATGTCACCTTAACCACAAGCATAAATCTGTTATGGCTTGATCTATAATTTACGAGATATCAATCACTACGGCCATCTACCGAAAAAATAATAGATTTCTTCTCTCGCAACCTATTATCAACACATAAACAGGCCATGTCATAAATAAACAAAAATAACTTATTTACCTGAATATGCGTAATTGTTTACATTTTATATTCTTTCTAAACTAAAAAATCTAAGCTAAGGGATTCCATAGCGTTTATCTTTAATTACTTTATTTATTTGTCAGATTGTCGATTGAGGAGCGGCCCATGGATTATGTGGCAAATTAAATAATTCAATTTGAATAAAAATGGAGCAACCATCTAATTTTAAAAATCTATCTACATACTCATCCAGAGATTACGGATCTTATTGCCTTGAAGAATTTATTATTACTTTGTTTTTAAACCTGTTTTGGTAATCGGATTTGTAAATTACAAGCCGTATAATTGATGGATCCGATACATGGGGAATGCACATAATGCATCCCTCTCGATCATAAATCACAAGTAATGAATGAGAAACACTCTAGATTCACTGTAGGTCCATTCCAATAGTTTAAATTTAATAATACGAATTATTCATATGTTACCCTTTTTAGAATGTCGTGTAGCCGAAATGATTTTACCATCACCTTCAACTCAAAAAAGTTTTTTTTTAATATGTCAGACCAGTGTTAACACCATTAATAAAAACACTACTCATATCATTTTCAAAAGTCTTTAAAGTCTTTTTACTAAATCTGAAAGCGGTCGCAGGAACTAGTTAAAGAACTCGAAATAATGCAACTCCGTTTAGAGTTATGCAGATTAAAAGCATGCGGGTCGTGCATTCCAGGTGTCATGGATTCGGCACCGCGATCTACACATCTTGACGGTGGGCGGTTATACGTACACATCCGACCAGCGATTCCAGGCCTCGCACTCGCCGCACACCGACGACTGGACGCTGCAGATCAAGTGGGCCCAGCAACGCGATGCCGGCGTCTACGAGTGCCAGGTCTCCACGCAGCCCGTACGCTCATTCTTCGTCACATTACATGTCGTTGGTAAGTTTTCTTTTTTAATTTTAAACCCTAAATACTTACAAAACTTATAGTCATCAAACTTTTTAAGCACAATAACTTATTTAACATATACTATACTTGTTTTTTTTAAATATTTTATACTTAATTTACTTTAGTAGTTTCGTTCCTGTATCTTCTGTTTAGATTTTACTACCTCTGTACTCCCAAAACAGGTAAATTGCATCGTACTATATTTAACTTCACGATTTACTTATATTTACTAAAAACAACAATTTATATTTTGTATGATTTCTCTTCTCAATCGATTCGATTTTATTTCAGGGCTAGTTTGACAAGATAAAGTTAATTTTATATACCTATGTTCAATAATATAATAGACGCAGGTATCTTATATGCCGTATTATTCTATAATAATATTTTCCAGCAATATGAACAACAAAGGAATGCCTAGGATAACTTAAAATATGTGAGCATTGAGCTGAGGGGTTAGGTTGGAGATATAGGCACGTAAACTATTGGGATATCGTGAGGAAATGAATGTGCGGCGCGCGTGCCTCGTCCTCCCTTTCTCCTTCCTTGCGCCCCTGGCCCACTATCACTATGATGTAATTATTATAAGAGTTATACTTACGAGGATCCAATATCCGAAAACATAAAACTACCAATTTAATATAAAAAAACTTCCTGTAAATGACATTTGCAATAAAAAATTCTATGGATTCATACAAAGGATCACTGCGATAAATCACGTCAGTCTATCAGTTTAAATGAAATATATGTTGTGATGAAAGCCGTCTCAAGCAGGATTGGTTATTGCTTATGAGTTAGGGTGTGGAGGTTTAACAGGGGAGAGAAGGGGCGGAGGGGTAAAGTAGCCATTGTCACAGAACGGTTTAACATATTTATTGGGGAGCAGCGTGATCGGAATTAATCGGCCGGATCGCGCCTAAAACACCTATTTGTTGTAAATCCGATAAAGGCCTCTAATAATGCCTATTGTTGTCTCTCTTTTTGTCGGGTGGAGTGACAGAATTCATTATATAGTACAATCTTTAATTCACCTCACCTAAGTCTCATTCTGATCATTTATTTACATTAAGTATTACTTGTTATGTTAGTAAATGGCGTTAATCGGTATAGTCGTAGGCTCGCACCCCTTCACGCGACACGTATCATGTTAGAATGTGTAACTAAATGAAATTCCGATACGTCGCACGATAGGGAATCCTGCAACGAATTACCGGACTATTTATGTTTAATTATGTATTACCGAATGATCGTCAATACTTTTAGATTATGAAGGGCTAAATAATTTTATTGATGACATATAACTGACGTCATTAAAATGGTAAATTTCATACAAAATGCTTTTCACAGATTGTGACGAGATCTACCAACGGATGTTCTCAGACGCAGGTGTGTGTGTGTTTGTGTGTTATTGTGCTACTATCGTGTGCGCAATCAGTTACTAACAAATTTGAGATACGTTTCAACTACTTACAGTAGATGTAAGCTAAAAAGGCATGGTGTTTTCTAAATGATTTAAATGACTTTATGGGAAAATTTCACACTAGTTGTAAAATCAGCTTATGTACAAGGAATTGCGGCGGTGTTCAGGCCTTCACAAACAAGTTTATACTGAAGGTTGCTGCGAGCTGAACCAACTTTAGACTTTTATGATTTATTATTAGGGAAAGCCGATAATATTATATTACGTCTTGTCACTATTAAGTTGCAAAAACAAACATCATATTTATATTAATTGGCGGAGCTGGTCTACCTGGAAATATAAAACATATACACAACATTGATACTTTATTAGATAGTTTTCTTGTACGAGTAGCACGGAAATCCCTGGTCTTGGCCACAGACACCGGAATCCTTTTTTTAAATCCATATTCATAGACAAGTATATTAAATTACAGTCGGAGTTTAAAGTTAAATGCGGAACCTCAGAGTTGTCGCTTATGTCAGTGAGACACTGTCCGGTATTTACAGACAACACTTAAATTAATGACTTATTAAACGTCAAATCAATAATTAACTAGCAAATACACGGACATTAAAGATAAGTTGTAACAGATAACCACCAACCCATAAAATACTTACTTTGCTGTTGGTATGAAACGAGATATCTTTGAAGACACTCTCCTTAAAGCCTCAGCTAGCATCGGAATACTGGGCGTTGACATATCGAATAACGTTCAGTTTCGCGGTCATCTGGAAGGAAAGGCTAAATTAGCCTCCAAAAAGCTTGGTGTGCTCAGCAAGGCGAGACGGTACTTCACTCCGGGCCACCGCTTGCAACTCTATAAAGCGCAAATTTGGCCCCACATGGAATACTGTTCTCACCTCTGGGCGGGAGCTCCCCAGTACCAGCTCCTTCCACTTGACCGTATTCAACGAAGAGCGGTTCGAATCGTCGACGACCAGTCACTTTCCACGCGGCTTGATCCCTTGGCGTTGCGTAGAGATGTGGGGTCTCTCTGCATTTTCTACCGCATTTACCATGGAGAGTGTTCAGAGGAGTTGTTCGGATTAATACCTGCAGCTGAGTTTCATCATCGGACGTCAAGGCAAAATACAAAATACCATCCGTATCACACAACTGCCAGAAGGCTCGCAAGTGCGTTGCCGGCCTTTCAAGAATTGGTACGCTCTTTTCTTGAAGGACCCTAAGTCGTATTGGTTCGGAAATACTTCAGTGGGCAGCTGGTTCCACATAGTGGTGGTGCGCGTCAAAATCTGCCTTAGAAAACGCTCAGCCCTGCGATTCTGTAACTCACTTTTCGAACTCACACAGCGGTTTTCGCATCGGCGGTCGCTCTCAAATCAGTCGTGAAGCAGTCATTTTATGATTTGGCATTCTGAAAAGGTGGGAGCTTGTAGTTTATTGTATATGCTTCATGACTGATTTCAGAGCGACCAACGATGCCCACTGAAGTATTTCCGAACCAATACGACTTAGGGTCCTTCAAGAAAAGAGCATACCAATTCTTGAAAGGCCGGCAACGCACTTGCGAGCCTTCTGGCATTGTGAGTGTCCATGGGCGGCGGTTTCACTTAACATCAGGTGAGCCTCCTGCCCGTTTGCCTCCTATTACATTAAAAAAAAAAGATATTTAACATTTTCTATTATATTTCTGAGACACATTTACATAACATCACAGAGGTCACAGAGGTCACAGAGAACATGCCTCCTCATTCCCGTGCCTCGTTGTCTTTGCCTGTCTTTCTCTACGTCAAATCCTTTCTGTTCCTACGTTATATATGTATGTATTTGAAAAAAAATCGATCAAGAATCCATGTCAGGAAAAAAAATTAATATATTAATTACAATGTGCCTGATAGTATTGCAAAGCAAATGTCACCAATAGAGTTATAGTCCAAAAAAATTCACTGAATGTAGGGGTCTAAATTTGTAGACCCCACTGTGCTGATAATATATTGTATTAGCCCCAATAGGAAACTTTTTAATTTCATGGACTAGGTAAATAAGTTCTAACTGAATAAGAGTGTACATTCGCGTAATCCCCGCACTCGAAATCGCGAGCACTTGCTAGTGTAAGTAAAATATTTATAACAATAATCATATTAATATAAAGCCACTTTTATACGAGCTCATGGAACATCCGTCAAACTTAAATTAATTAATGTTGGAATTATCTCGTAACGTATTAACGTTAATTAGCGTAATATTTTAATTATCTTCTGTGTTATTTTGTTAGCTGCTTAGGGATTACCTGCATGAAATTCCAAACTTACGCAGAAATTTAAATAGGATTGGGTATCTTCAATGGTAGTATAATAGGACAAAACAAAGTGTCAGACAATCAGACATAGGTACATATTTCAGTCTCACCTATCGTATGTACTTTTCGTTTATCTATTTTCTACTTGTACTTCTTATTTTCGAAGTATTTTTTTTATCGCATTTTGAAATCATTCAATGACAATAATTAAATTACGTGTCAATTAACACGATCCCAGGTAAATTTTTCATAGGTGATACCAAACAATATTATAATATGCTCGTTGTCGGCTAATTGAGTGACGGGCTAATCGCACCGCCATGTTACATTTCCGCCGTACCGCATATTATATTACATTTATACAAACCCAGAAGTACAACGGTCTTCGATCATGAGAGGCGAGTTCTAGACACTTTTGTTGAATCTTCAGAGCGTCTGTCATGTATCTTTCAGATTCCCGTCGAAGCGCGAAGAGTCCGTCACTCGCTTAGCTGCCGCACTGACATGAGCCGTTGCCGGTTTCCATCTAGAGAAACTGACGAGACACTCAGAAGTTGAATTATTCATAGGAGTCTGCAGCTCACTCAAACATTATACAGATACAAACATTTTTATATGCTTCGATTCTAAATAAGACTTCATTCGCTACTCTGGGCGGAAGTATGATCATTTGCTTTGGCTGTAAAACAATATCGCATTAAGAAGGCAGAAGTAGTTTACTTCTTCAAAGCAAAAAGAAGAAACACAGGATATTCACATGTTCTAGAAATTCATGAACACTACAATAATAATACGGTAATTGGTATGATTATAATTAATATTTGTTTCACCTACCCAACTAAAATCTCTGTGTGAGCCACTGGATGGCGTTGAACTAATAATATTAATATGAAGGCGAAAAATATCTTGTGGGGTGAGTGAGGAAGAAGTAACGAAGTTTTACTTATTCTCTTCAGTTTTCAGCTCAGTGGCCTGAATGAGCATTGTCTCGCAGGCGAGTCGAGGTGCCCTCACTCCGCTAAAACTGCTACTTCTACGACGCTAAGTACATCTAAAAATAAAATACTTTATATTAAGGTGTAATTAGTATTGACTGGCATTTCGAATAAAAATAGTTGTCTATAAAGTTATTTGGTCTGCAAAGCGGCTGAGGTGTATTTACAAATGATAATCCAGGTATGAAAAGAAAGCACGGTGAGGTAGTGTAAGTGGTGAGTGGCGTAGATCGCTCTCGTATTAACCGAATGAAACACAAGCGGTAAAGCTAGTGGTGCGTTTATGCAGCTTTTTCATTTCACTCATTGAGTGCTACAATAGCGCTCGGCGCCGCACTCGCTCGCCGTTATTTTTGATCGCTTCAGCGGACGAGTGCTCGACAAACAAGCGAATGAGATTTAGCCAGCTTCAACAATCATAAGCCGTATTTTAACTCGGCTCTCATTGTGTCGAGAAACATCGTTTAAGCGAAATTTAAAATAACTTGGTGATTGCATCGCGAAACCGCTATTTTTCGCTTGAATTACATTTGCGAAAGTTTTTAAACGCTAAAAGCCCTGGCGGGAACAATGCAGAGCGGACTCGTGTTTAATGTGCTCACAACACAACGACCTCGTCCTCGAGCACGTTTTACAACCACCTCTCCTGTTCCGTGTGAACTTGTTATCTAAGCCTTCTTAAACTCATATTAATGACATACTATTAATGGCGTACTTTAGACATATGTTTAAAAACACTTCAATCGCTTGATACAGTTCTGCTGAGTAGTAAGAACTAGTCACTTGTCGTTAACAGATGATTACATTGATATATCAAAGCGTGAGGAATAGTTAAATTAATTAAATTGGTTGTAAAGTAATTCCGTCGTCTGTAAATGGAATGTACACTGAATAAATACTTGTTCGATTTCAATCTCTCTCCGGCTTGGACAGAGCGGGGAAGGGAGGCGTCGGAACAATTGTCGTAGAACTTCATGCAGCGCTTACACAGCGTTTTAATTTAGAGTTTCCTTTTACGGCAGTTTGCCTGAAACGTGATTTACATAGAGATTATTGTTTTCTGATTCTCAAAATGTGTATTTTTCTTGGAGAAGAATATTGATATAAGGGCAAAATCATTGCCTTAACGTTCTTATGTAAAATATCTTTCGTTATAACCATCATCGCCTAAATTCTTGGTCGTCTGACCACTCACATATTGTTAATAATATTCTGGGGTCTATCGATTTGTTTAACTCCTGTTTTTGTTCAACTTTTGACGCAATTTTAGATTTCGCTTTTAGAGATATGTTCGCAACTGAACGCTTAGTTTCTCTACACGCTGTAGTGTCAGACAAACATCGAAAGACGACGAAAGTTATCGACATTCTTGCCGATCTTGCCTAGCTCTAAGCCTTCCTGCTCCCAACTTGTTAAGTAGCTCGCCTTAGAGGTTCCCACCTTCTAGTTTACATACAAACTTAGCATCTCAGAGTAGGATCTGAATGAGCGCCACCGCTGTTAGTTTATGATGATACCGAATAATACATTTAAATGACAACTATGGAGTTACCGAATATTCAAACTCTCGTGTTAAAACAGTATTTTCGTACTTATTGATTTGATGTGCTAAGCATCCCATTATTGCTACGAAGCGGGCCATAAGGGTGTAGAAGTCCATATATCACAAAGTACTGAGACCATAATTCCCCATCCAGGTCCCTAGGTAATTTTATATACATACAT